TTGGCAGGGCTGGAGAAGTGGCTTCGTGCTACCTTCCTCGAGAAAGGGTTATTTACTTTCCTAAGCCAGCCTACACACTGATGTGTCCACGTAGTCTCCTTAACCAGGCATTCAGCAACTCTGATCCTGCTTAACCTTTCGGAGATCAGTAAGATTGGCCACAAGGCACCAGTCATCAATACCAACACAATTATGCCTTCAGATGTCCTTGTGTCAACTTCATGATTACATCCATGCTGTTTTCTTGGAAATGGCTTACCCGGGACCTTCTTCCAGGAATTGTTTTTCAACTTCCTAATTGAGGCTATAAAACTGGAATTCCCTATTGCAACGATTCTCAATCTCAGCAACTTTTAAGACCTGTGGACTTCAATTCCCAGAAGTCCCCAGCCACACAGCTTAAAATTGCTGAGGTTGAAAAACACTGCACTAGTATCTCCCATCCAAGTACCTTTGTTTTCACTTTAAAAGCCTAGCAGGCATATCTACAGGTAGACCTTGTTGGTGTGATGTTCTCAATTAGATCACAAGTGGGGTGAGCAGTTAGCACACGAGTGGCGCAGTTTTTTGCGTTTGGCTCAGTGGTGGGTTGCTCCTGGTTCAGTCCAGTTCTATAGAACCGGTAGTAAAACTGGCGGGAGGCTCCACCCACCCACCATGATGTCATCACGGGTGATCTGCGCATGTGCAGAAGCTTCTGTGCATGTTCAGAAGCGCGCGGTCCCGTTGCAAACCAGTAGTAAAGGTAAGTAGAACCCACCCCTGGTTTGTTTCCATTTGTTTCTTCATCCGCTGAATCAGCATACAAGGAAGATATCCAAAGGTATCCACATGGTGCTCAAAAAACAACTTACATCTAAATACTAGTAAGACAAAGGAGATGGTGCTACGTTTCCGGAAGCACAGAGAGGAACCTGCCCCACTGCAGGGGTGAAATGCTCCCGGTTTGGACCGGATCACCCAATCCGGTAGCGATGGCAGTGGGTGGTTTGGAGAACTGATAGCAAAAATCCCTCCCCACCCCCATTCCCAGCTGAGCCGCACAATCATCAGCTTTTTATTTTATTTTTAAAAGCATTTTTTCTACAACCTCTTCGGCCGAAAAAATGCTTTTAAAAGTTAAAAAAAAAAGCCTCTGCTGATCAGGCAAGTCAGTTGGGATCGTCAGAGGCTTTTAAAAGCATTTTTTTACAACCTCTTCGGCTGAAAAAATGCTTTTAAAAGTAAAAAAAAAAGCCTCTGCTGATCAGGCAAGTCAGCTGAGATCGTCAGAGGCTTTTTTTTAAAAAAGAAAAGCCTCTGCCGATCAAGCAAGTCAGTTGGATCGTCAGAGGCTTTTAAAAGCATTTTTTTACAACCTCTTTGGCCGAAGAGGTTGTAGAAAAAATGCTTTTAAAAATTAAAAAAAAAAGTTGGCAACGCCCACTCAGTCATATTACCCCACCACCACAGAACCGGTAGCAACAAATTTTACATTTCAGCACTGCCCACTGTATATTGAGGGGTGGGTGGGTGGAGTGGGTTTCCTCTTTTAAATTCTTGGGAGTGCTTATTAGTCAAGATCTCACCTGGAAAAACAACACGTCCCTGGTGATTGACAAGGCCCAACAGAGACTTCATTTCCTCAGAGTCCTGTGAAAAAATCAGGTGGAACAACGGCTGATGACCTCTTTCTATCGGTCCACGATAGAAAGTGTCCTCACGTACTGCATTACAGTCTGGTACACTGGTTTAACTGCTGCGGACTGGAAGGCACTACAGAGAGTGATCAATTCGGCACAAGAAACCATCGGTTACCCCTCTAACACCACTGGATGACCTTGCCAGGTCTCGCTGCTTTAGCAGACTAAGGAAGATACCCAGAGATGATTCACACCCTGGTCAGGGTCTCTTCGCACTTCTACCGTCGGGCAGAAGACATAAAAGCTTAGCCATCTGAACAAATAGGTTTAAAAATAGTTTCTATCCTTGGGCTGTCAGACTCTTAAACATAACCACAATCACTCCACTCACACATGGAAACGTATGACTAGTTTTTCTTTTTCTTTCTTTTTCTTTTTCCCCCCTAATTACTTGCATAAGGATTATTCTTTATACTATTTATGTTGTTCGTTTTTTTTTTCATGGATTGCACCAGTGTGGCTAAAACCAATTTCTTTGTATACATGATGTACAATGACAATAAAGACTAGACTATGCTGAATCAGTTGACCAGGTTTGTGGCTCTCACCTCTGAAAAGTAGTCAGACTGAGTTCCAAGCAAAACAATATCTTACTCAAGGCTGAGGCAAAATAACTCTCCTGCCCAGTTTGGCCATCTAAGTTAAAGAACAGAGAAATTGGTTCATTCTTGGGTTTTGAAGGTGAGGAGTTTGGCTGATCTTGACAACACTGCTCAGCTGGTAGCAAGCGTCTCTCAACCCCTCCCCAAGCATTAATTTATTAATTCATTTATTCACTCATTCATTCCATTCATTCTCTACATTCATTCAGTCCATTCAGTCATTCAGTCAGTCCATCCATCCATCCATCCATCCATCCATCCATCCATCCATCCACTTCATTCATTCATTCAGTTCATTTACTTATTCACTCCATTCATTCACTCTATTCTTTCCATTCATTTACTCATTCCCTCCATTCATTCTCTTCATTTATTTACTTCATTCATTCATTCATTCATTCATTCATTCATTCATTCATTCATTCGAAAGGAACAATTTAGGACTTCTACTTCAACCCCTATTCAGTATAGGAATCCAAATGAAAAGGGGAGATTCCACATCGGGGAGGGGATGTTGTTGAAAAGCTGTAGAAATCATCTTGACTCCCCCCCCCTGAACACTTTTGATTTAGCTTCTATTCAAGTACAATCAAAGAGTAACCTTTCTATGTAATTGATTCAAGTGCTGAACTGCTACTGTCCATCCACCTTTCCTAATATGCATCTGCCTTCCTGCAATTTAAATCCGTTATTCTCTCTTATTTCTTCTACTTCCTTAGTTTTTGTGGGAAGAAAGACTCGATTACCAGTCCAGTTATTTCCTCTTCAGTCCTGTGCATTTGAGTTCTGCTTTTTAAACATGTATTTTTTTGCATTTGTCTCTATTATGTTTATCTCATTTTTCTAATCCTTCACAATCCCTTAAATGTTGTTTCTCTTCTCCCAGTTTGGTGTCACTGCAAATTTCCCCTCCATCTCCTCATGCAAATTATTTTTTTTTTTAAAAATTGAAAATAACAGAGACTGGGCTGAATCTTAAACAGTAGTGCCCCTACTTTTATCTTCCTCACCGGTGGAAGAATTGTTCATGAATATTCTTTGAATACAGTTTTTGCTTAATCGTCCTGCTATCTGCCTTTCAGATTAATCCTGCAGGGCAAGTCCATGGTGACTTCTGATAATGATTAGTGCATTGTTTCTGAGGTGCTTATGTATCAATTGCTTTATGATTTGCCTTAGAATGTCCCCAGGGTTCAGGATGAGTGAGATCCCCATCTCCCCTGGCGAGCCATTTTCTAGCATTTCTCAAAGATTATTCATAAAATCTTAGCCATATCATCATCAGTTTTCTTCAGAACTCTCATACGCATTTCCTCTGGCCCTGAAAATTTAAAGTCATTCATAAATATTTCTTTATCATGACCTGATCAATCCCAAGCACCAGTCCTTCTTCCTGAGCTTCACGGTTTTGAGGGAACACACATTCTCTTCCTTTTGAAGAACATCAAACTACTCAGAACAGCAGGAGACTGGAGAGGGGTAAATTGTGTAGTGGTAACACAAAAAGGAAATATAGGTATTGGCTGACTCTTTGTCCTCTTAACACCTCTGCCCTCCCCAGTGTTGGTCTACAAAATGTCAGCCTAAAATCTTTCCTGTAGACTTGAATAATAGATGCACGCTGCCCTTAAACATGATATTAACATTTTTGAGTTAAAATTGATTCCATGTATCCATATGGGCACAACCATAAAAGTTTTCTGGGCAACAAAACAGAGGTATTTTGCCATTATTTCCACACACACACCCAAGATGTTGGCAAAGTCTTTCCAAATTGAATATTCCAAGCAAGGCGTTCTAAATGGATGAAACATTTCATGGAAAACAACGATCTGGGTTTTTTTATGCGTGTAAACCAATATTCTATTCTATAATGCCATTTAAGAGAAAAACAGAGTTGGAAGGAACCTTAGTAGTCTTCTAGTCCAATGCCCTGCTCAAGTAGACCTTCCAGTGATGGAGCACCCACAACTTCTAGTGGCAAGCTGTTCCACTGGTTAACTGTTCTCCCTGCCAGGAATTTTCTCCTAAATTCCAGGTTGCTTCTCTCCTTGATTAGTTTCCATCCGTTGCTTCTTGTCCTGCCTTCAGGTGCTTTGGAGAATAAGTTGACCTCCTCTCCTTTGTGGCAGCCCCTCAAATATTGGAACACTGCTACCATGTCATAATATCATACCCTGTTAGGGCTATAACCAGTCTCTGTTACTATTAGTGCCCGCTCTTATTATAACAAGTTATCTTGGAGATTATTATTGTCTGAAAATGTTCTATGAATAGGATAGCATCCCAATGCAGTCAGAATGGCACCTTAATTCTATTGAAGGCAAATGAAGATGGTTATGAGTGTGGCCAATGTTAAAAGATAGTTTTGAATGGGATGACAATTACAAAGAAGGGAGTTATTTCTCAGCATTTTTGCAAAATCCTTACCTGAAACTCTGCCATAATCATAATCATGGCAAAAAAACAAAACAAAACAGTTACCAGTAAATTGGACATGACTTGCTTAAGCAATGCCTTGCTTAGCAACGGAATTTCTGATCCCAATTGTGGTCATAAGTCAAGGGCTACCTCTGTATGCAAAAACAGCACATTCTACAACCTCTTTTGAAATCATTTTCAAAGCAAATTGTCTACAGATTGGTTTGGAAGCCATCCTTACCAACTGGCTAACACCAGTTCTTGATCAACCTAATAAAAAGGAAATATTGCATAATTCATTGACTGCAATTTATTGAGCCACTGAAATAGGAATCCTCCTTAACTTGACAAAATGATTTCACATCAATGCCTTTTTCAGACAACAAGCTCTAAATGAATTAGAGATTGTATGGGGAATGCAAAGGGCCACCTGATTTGCAGCTTCTACGAGGGTAAGGCAATTATAGCAATACAGAAGTAGCTGAACATCCAACACTTAAGCAATCTAAGAATGTAAGTCTGCTGGACCAGACTTAATGCCTACGTAGTCCAGCATTCTGTTTTCACAGGGGCCAATACAATGCTTTCATTTGTTGCCAAGCAGAACACAAGTTCATCTGCAATACTTTCAGCTCTGCCTCATGCAATCTCAGTTGCCTAAGGCCCAAGGAGCTGCCTTCTGAGCAACACCGGAGTACTGATCACAGGTTCATATCTACAGTGAAGAACAATCAAGTTACACCCTCATTCCATGATAGAGTTCCTGAGCAGAGGTACCAACATGTTGCAGAGGCTTTTGGAGGTACGTACAACAGAACAGTCAGGAAAACACCTAAGACATGTTTATAAGGAAGGGTTTCGTACTGCTCAAGACCCTGGTTTGAATTTGTAGTCTCCACTATGTTGCTTTCTGACGGTGTGGAACATTGAAGAAACTGAGACTCTGCAAGGAGGAAACTTGCCATGGATCGTGGGGAAATGTTTTTTTGTTGGTTTCCAATGTTCAATCTCTTTCCATCTAGAGTTCATAGTTCTCTGGAACCAGGAAACCCACTCTTGATATGGAACCCTGGTTTCCTTCTTTTCCTGACCTTTTGAGAAGCAATATAGAAGGGACACCACTGAATGAGGCATGGCATCCACAAGAATCTAACCTGCACTGCCAAATAACACCGATTACATAGAGATTAAGTCACTAATGGCAGAATTTTGTATCTTCGGTTCATTGCTTTCCTGGTTGCTACAGAGGCCGAGATTTGAGTGCTCCAACTTTACAAATCAAAGGCTATTCTTTCTTTCTCTGAATGGATAACTAAATTTCGTAGCCATTGGAAAGTTTGGTTTACAAATGCATGGCTTCTTAAAACATCCCATTCAGCTACTTTGGGATGCTTCCATTGAACCATCGCAACTGTGAAAGAGGATTTGATACTGGCTTGTCAAATGCATGTAACTGGTGAGAGAAGGGAGGAAGAAGCCATCAACGAGACACTAATTGGTAAAGCCAAAGTAAAAATATCTTCGGTGAAGCAGGAACGGATGCTGTGAGTTCTTCAAACCATTTGAAGGCATTTGATTTCAGAAATCCAAAAATGTATATGTACACATGGGCACGCATACACAGCATTCATTGAATGCCTCTTTGAGACTTCACTCAAAAAAATGTAAAGATTTTTTTTTTTAATTTAAGAAATTCGCAGCCATATAACAATTGACAAATGGAGACCATTTTGCAGAACGGAAATTGGGCTTGTCATAGGTCGAATGGGGGGGGGGAACCCTAGTGTGTCTTTCCCCAAATATGTGGTCCTCCAGGTGTGTTTGGAAGTGCTTAATAAGAATTTGGAGAACTGTAGTCCCAGTGCATCAGCTTGGAGAGTGATGTCCTAAAGAACTCTGAAAGGTTCACCAGATTTGTGGTGGTGCCTTTTCCTGAATGGTTCCTGCATCAGGTTCAGGCTAGAATTCTGTGGTGGTGACCTGGGTAATTTCAGAGTGCAGTTCTTCCCCTTGGCTTCCTCTGCTGAAACCTCTTTTGTGGCTGTCCATGTCTAGTCATGCTGACTTATGAAGGACTTCTGATGGAGTGCAGGTAGAAACACGTTCTCGGGTGCTATTCCGAGCCCGGCTAAAACTGTTCTGCTCCATCCGTGATCGGAACGGGAGGCAGAACTCTCTAAAACATCTCTTGAAGTTCTCATCCAAGAAAGCATACAGGACAGGGTTGAGGCTGCTGTTGGTGTAGCCCAGGGCGATACAAAAATGCAGGCTGGCCATGACATAAGGGTTCTTCTTGTCAATGCCAACCAGAGTCCAAACAATGACAAAGATCTGGATGGGAGTCCAGCAGATGATGAAGGCTGCTACCACAATGAGCACCATGCGCGTAATACGGCGCAAATTGCGGTCCTTCTCCTTGGAACCTGAGAGGAGACGGACATTCTTCAGGCGGAGAATCATGAGCCCGTAGCAGACGGTGATGACCAAGATGGGAACCAAGAAAGCAAAGATAAAAACACAGATCTTGGTAACCGTATCCCAGTATATTTGAGGTTCAGGAAACTGAAGGAGACAGATTGTAATGCCACCTGAATAAAAGAAAGAAGAGTATGAACATGAGAGATGAACAAACAGGAGGACCATAGCTCAGTGGCCAACAGAACTGCTATTCTCTTATACATAGGAGCACATCATCGCATAGTAGAGCCCCTTTTGACATCAACCATCAATGACTAGTGGCTTTGTTGATGGGAGTTTGGGAGGATGTTGTTGCTGTTTAGTCACTAAGTCATATTTGACTCTTTGCAACCACATGGACACCAAGGCACACCAAGCCTCCCTTTGTCCTCCACTGCCTCCCGGAGTTTGCTCAAATTGATGTTCATTGCATCTAAGACATTATCTAACCATCTCATCCTTCCTCTATCATCCCATCCATTCTCAACATTGGGAGTATATTCCTAGCCAATTAATTGACCATCCCGTCCATTCCCAACATTGGGAGTATATTCCTAGTCAATTAATTGACCATCCCGTCCATTCCCAACATTGGGAGTATATTCCTAGTCAATTAATTGACCATCCCGTCCATTCCCAACATTGGGAGTATATTCCTAGTCAATTAATTGACCATCTATATTCCTAGTCAATTAATTGACCATCCCGTCCATTCCCAACATTGGGAGTATATTCCTAGTCAATTAATTGACCATCTATATTCCTAGTCAATTAATTGACCATCCTGTCCATTCCCAACATTGGGAGTATATTCCTTGTCAATTAATTGACCATCCCGTCCATTCCCAACATTGGGAGTATATTCCTAGTCAATTAATTGACCATCCCATCCATTCCCAACATTGGGAGTATATTCCTAGTCAATTAATTGACCTTTATGGTAGGACACAATCCAGGATGAATAGATCAGTTGGACAATATCCATGCTTTTAGTCTTCTCAAGCACTACAATGGAGGTTAAAAGGAAAGGCCATTGCTTCCTTCCACTACTTTCCTTTTTAAATAGACTATTGATAGTTGGGAAGGGGTGTGTGCTCTCTCTCTCATCATTTCCACCCTTTGTCATAATTCCTTATGGATGCAGACTGGGAGAAAGTACAAAACAAACCAGTCATCGAGATAGAGTGCCTAGAGCAACTGTGTTTTCACAGGGCTTCTCTAGGACTTTGTCTCAGTTGACAAAGATTCAGGGACAGCTACCTATCAAGTTAGTAGCTTGTATGGGATCAGGAAGATATTCAATTAGCCCCAAATAACCCTTTTTCTGTCTGGATTAATTGACTGGGGTTTGGAGTTTGTATGCTTTTGTTATCCCTACCCCACAACCCATTTCAATATGTTGTGTGAACAGGAATAATGAATGAGCATAGAAATCTTGATATAATTTCCAAGACAGTACAGGTAGTCCTCAACTTATGATCACAATTGAGCCCAAAATTCATGTTGTTAAGTGAGAAATTTGTTAAGTGACTTTTTGTCCCATTTTATGATAAAATAATATTTAATTATTTTAAACTGTTTTTAAATTTTGTATGTTCTGTTTTTTACTTTGGCTGTTCACTGCCCTGAGTCCTATTTGGAGAAGGGTGGTATAGAAATGGAAACAAATAAATAAATAAAAAATAAATATGACTTTTCTTGCCACCTTTGTTAAGTGAATCCCTGCAGCTGTTAAATTACTAACATGGTTCTTAAGTGAATCTGGCTTCCCCATTGACTTTGCTTGAAGATCACAAAACGCTATCACATGACTCCGGGACACTGTAGCCATCATCAATGTGAGTCAGTTGTCAAGCATCCCAATGCAAATCATGTGACCATGGGGATGCTTCAATAGTCGTAAGTGTGAAAAATGGTCACGAGTCGCTTTTTTTCAATGATGTTGCAACTTCAAGCGGTCACTAAATGAACTGTTGTAAGACAAGGACTACCTGTACATGGAGGGGCATTATTTACAAAACCAACTTTTTATCAAAATATGAACGTTCCTCCCTTAGCCCCATAGGTAAGCCTGCTTCCTATATAACGGAATCACCCCTGAGAAATAAACTGAATAGCAATAGCACTTAGACTTATATACCACTTCAAAGTGCTTTACAACCTTCTCAGAGTCAGCCTATTGCCCTCAACAATTTGGGTCCTCATTTTACCAACTTGGAAGGATGGAAGGTTGAGTCAACCTTGAGCCTGGTGGGATTCGAACTGCCAAATTGCAGGCAGCCGGCAATCAGCAGAACTAGCCTACAGTACCGCACTCTAACCACTGCGCCACTGAGGCTCATAGAATAGAAGTTCCTTCGCTACTACAGGACAGAAAAAGTCCTTGTACCCCAAAGGTCTGTGTCAATTTAGCAGTGGGAACCACATCCTGATCATTGCCCAGACTGGGTGGTCTTCAGGGAAGTGACTGGAACTGAACGGCAGACCACTTGCCTTGAGATTTAGTGACAGCCATGACCATGATAGGCACTCCAACCACAGAGGAGAGAACCCAGATGCAAACATTGATTAACTTCGCTTTAGCCGGGGTCCGGAAATCCAAGGCCTTGACCGGGTGGCAGACGGCAATGTACCGGTCTACGCTCATCATCGTCAGGGTGAAGATGCTGGTAAACATATTGTAGTAGTCTATGGAGAGGACGACTTTGCAAAGCAGTTCCCCAAATGGCCAGGTCTCCATCAGATACTTAGCACTCTGGAAGGGCAGAGTACTGGTGGCCAAGGCATCTGCCAGGGCTAAATTGAAGATATAGATGTTGGTGGCAGTTTTCAACTTGGTGTATCTAGAAGGAGGAGATAAGGAGAATGAGATAAATTGCAAATGACACTGGGGCTCATTCTTTGCAAAAAAATAATAATACATACATACATTCTTATTAAACCAGCAAAACAACATGAGGTAAAATGGAATAGAACAGTGGTATGTGTTTTGACTGAAGTCAAGTGACAGAAAAGATTGATTCTCCTGAGTCCTTTCCTGGTATCAGGGCTCAGTTAATGTCTAGAAGATTACAGACTACGAAGAATGGTTACAGGAACTGGGCATGGCTAGTCTACTGAAAAGAAGGACCAGGGGAGACATGATAGGAGTGTTCCAATTTTTGAGGGGCTGCCACCGAAAGGAGGGGGTCAAACTATTTTCCAAAGGACCTGAAGGCCAGACAAGGAATAATGGATGGAAACTGATCAAGGAGAGATTCAACTTGGAAATAAGGAGAACTTTTCTGACAGTGAGAGCAATCAACCAATGGAACAGAAGCTGCCTTTGGAAGTTGTGGGAGCTTCATCACTGGAGGCTTTCAAGAAGAGATTAGACTGCCATTTGTCAGAAATGGTGTAGTTGCGGGGGTTGGACTAGATGACCTACAAGGTCCCTTCCAACTCTGTTAATCTGTAACAGTCTAGTTTGGCGGACATAATCTGAAGGGGAGCACAGGAATGCTGAGAATGTAAACATGGATCTGTCTCCAACAAAGAATGTGAAGGCAAGAGATAAGAAGAAATTCAAGCTGACTTATCAGAGAGGACCATGCTGAAGGAGAACGTGAAGAGTTTAAGTTCTGACTAGCTATAAATTCTGATGTACCTTTCCTGTTTGCAGAGAAATGGTCAACTAGCATAAATGACTGCCATTTCCTAGGATACATTCCAGATACATATTCTAGTTTTGTTTTCCTTGCTTCTCTGACAGCCTGATACCCACCTTACCTAAATTTGCTTGCCTTCTTCACCAAATACCCTTGCTTGCTTCTTCACTGTTATCCGTTTCTCCTTTCTTCTGTGCTATCTAATATCCAGAGGTATTTCACGAGAAGAGTCCTCCACTCCTCTGCTCACAACAGAATCCCTTATGCCACCAGGCTTGAAATTTTGGGTTTAGACAATTTAGAACTAGGCCGCCTTCAGTCTGACCTAAGCGTAGTACACAAAATTATCCGCTTCAACATCCTACCTGTCAATGACTACTTCAGCTTCAACCGCAATAATACAAGAGCACACAAAAGATACAGACTTACGGTAAACCTCTCGAAACTCGATTGCAGAAAATACGACTTCAGCAACAGAGTGGTCAATGCCTGGAATGCACTACCTGACTCTGTGGTTACATCCCCTAACCACCATAACTTTAACCTTAGACTGTCTACTGTTGACCTCACCCCATTCCTAAGAAGTGTTTAAGGGGCGTGCATAAGCACACCAGCGTGCCTACCATCCCTGTCCTACTGTCCCCATTTATTCGTATCCATATCCTGTATTCATAATCATGTTTATACTTATATCTGTTATCTTATGCATGTTTGACAAATAAAATAAATAAATAAATAAAATCTCCCATCTAATAGTATTTGATCCACATGTCATTTACTGTATTTGGTACCCGTGCTCGTCTCCTTGTGCTTTTAATCAGTTGATTTTAAAAAAGGGGGGAAACCATTCATTTAATGTATTTCTGGATTTCTGAAGGATGTAAGCAGCAAAGGATGCTTCACCCAGGCTGTGTCATTGTTTATATGGTGCTGAAATCCATCCTTCCTATTCCTGAAAACATTCTGTCCCTCCAGCAAGAGATACTGTTTTTACAGCTGATTTTCAGTCTGTTCTAGGATACCTTTTTATGTTGACTATATTGCTGTAAGAAAGCAGAGACTCCTTTGTTTTTACTGCCGGTGTATAGCTTCTTTACTGATCCTTGATCTGAGAAGGCTCCATTAGAGGTGCCAACACAGGGCTAAATCCTTTGGGGGGGGGGAATCATTATTTTCTACCGTTTTATTTATTTATTTCACTCTTTGGCCAGGTTTGCATTAAGAAATCTCTCCAGTCACCATGGAAAAAAAAAACGCTGACCTTCTGAATAAATCCACGGCTGAGTATATGTGTGTGAAGTTTCAAAACTTGTTACAAACTAGGCGTAACTGTCATGGGCTGACAAATCGCAAATGCCCAACATCGCTGTGCCTGTTAGAGAGAGTAAAAAATTCAAGAATGGGGACAGGGAGGTACATGTGCACTCTTGATGTGTCACCTTGATTTTGATCTATGCCTGATGGCAGGCTTCTATAAAACAGCAGTGATTCACTGGCTGCGTTTTAGCCTGAAATCTCTGGTGCTGCTGTGGGTTGTGTATATGGCATAGTATTGTTTATACGGAATGGAGGAATAAATGGGAATAACTGATACCCATGAATACACATTGATAGGAGCTGCAAAGGGACGCAGAGGCTCAGTGGCTAAGACACTGAGCTTGTCAATCGAAAGGTCGGCAGTTCAGTGGTTCGAATCCCTAGTGCCGTGTAACGGGGTGAGCTCCCGTTACTTGTCCCAGCTTCTGCCAACCTAGCAGTTCAAAAGCATGTAAAAAATGCAAGTAGAAAAATAGGGAGCACTTTGGTGGGAAGGTAATAGCGTTCCGTGAGCCTTTGGCGTTGAGTCATGCCGGCCACATGACCACGGAGACGTCTTCGGACAGCGCTGGCTCTTTGGCTTTGAAACGGAGATGAGCACCGCCCCCTAGAGTCAGGAATGACTAGCACATATGTGCGAGGGGAACCTTTACCTTTTACCTTTTAGGAGCTGCAAGAGGAATTAGGGCTGTAATCATTTGCCCATCTCTTCTACGCTTCCTGATCTCTTCTATTAAACCTCCAAGGAGTATCTGCCAAAAGGTTGGTCGAATGGCAGATAGTGCTGCATCTGCTTTGCTAACCCCCAACCCCTCCCCGCCCCCAAAAGATGCTCATCATCCAAAGGGAGAACCAACAAAAATGCAGGTCTGCAACAAATTTGAAAATGTTGGAGTAGATAGTCCTGTTTCTGAAAGATTCACTCCAGGGGTGGGTTCTACTTACCTTTACCACTAGTTTGCAATGGGAGCGCACATAAATTATGATGTCCAGGCGGGTGGGTGGAGTCTCCCGCTGCTTTTACTACCGGTTCACAAGAACCGGACAGAACCGGGAGCAATCTACCACTGATTCACTCCATATAGAAGTAAAACACCTCCTACTATGAAGGGTGGGGGGACATAACCTAGTGGTCCATGAATGTTTTGTCTGCTGTTGTCCAAACTAAGTACCTATAAGCAGTTTCAGGTCAGAATGCCAGAAAAACAGTTTGTTTACTAATTCCAACTTTGCATGTAGATTTTAACACTAGAATGACGTTATAGCTTGTGTATGTAACTTTGATTTTTGTTCCATTCTCCAAAGCAGGTTTACATAAATGTTTATATTTATTTTAGCAATAGCTAAATATGAGCTTTGTGCTAGTATTCTAATTGTGGTTATTTTTTCATAGTTTGTAGAATGGAATGGTTGCGATCTTTCTAACATGAATTGGTGCTAGTCAGTGGCTGAACTAAAGATTTGCCTTGCCTTGCCTTGCTTTTGCTACTGAGCATTTCATTTTTATGGTAGCTAGTTCTCTCATAGTCAAGGCTATGGTTTTCCCAGTTGCCATGTATGGCTTTGAAAGTTGGACCATAAGGAAGGCTGAGCGCCAAAGAATTGAGGCCTTTGAACCCTGGTGCTGGAGAAGACTCCTGCGAGTCCCTTGGAGTGCAAGGCGATCAAACTGGTCAGTCCTAGAGGAGATCAACCCTGACTGCTCTTTAGAAGGCCAGATCCTGAAGTTGAAACTCAAATACTTTGGCCACCTAATGAGAAGGAAGGACTCACTGGAGAAGAGCCTAATGCTGGGAAAGATTGAGGGCAAAAAAAGAAAGGGATGTCAGAGAATGAGGTGGCTGGATGGAGTCACTGAAGCAGTTGGCATGAGTTTAAATGGACTCCAGAGGATGGTAGAGGACAGGAAGGCCTGGAGGAACATTGTCCATGGGGTCGCGATGGGTCGGACACGATTTCGCAACTAACAACAACAACAACAATAACAAGGTCTCTCCCATATCCTTGGCCTCTCATTTACTGGTTCCTCAGCTCCTCTTGCATGTATGTTCACCATGAACCTCTTGGATGGCAGCTATACATGTGAAAAGACACCTCAGAGATTTTCACTAGAGATGTGAAAAGAGACTGTGGAAAGAGTGCAAAGAAGAGTAACCAAGATGATTAGGGGCTGGAGGCTAAAACATATGAAGAATGATTGCAGGAATTGAGTATGTCTAGTCTAGTGAAAAGAAGGACTGGGATGACATGATAGCAGTGTTCCAATATTTGACGGGCTGCCACAAAGAAGAAGGGGTCAACTTATTTTCCAAAGCACCAGAAGGCAAGACAAGAACCGATGGATGGAAACTAACCAGGGAAAGAAGGAACCTAGAACTAAGGAGAAATTTCCTGACAGTGAGAACAATCAACCAGTGGAAAAGCTCTTCTTCAAAAGTCAAGGATTTGAAGAAGAGACTGGACAACCATTTGTCTGAAATGGCATAGGATCTCCTGCTTGAGCAGGATGTTGGACTAGAAGACCTCCAAGGTTCCTTCCAATGCTGATGTTCTGTGTATGTTATTAGGAAGAGAATAATTCATTCAGGCATTCAGAAAGAATGTTTGGGTTCACCCAATGGACCTAAAGAAGATTTCTAGCATACGGGTGTCAAACTCAAGGCCCATGAGCTGGATCTGGCCCATGGGGTACTTAGATTTGGTCCAAAGGGCCACCCTGGAAACAGTGAAGGACCAGCCCATGGTGCCTCTGCCAGCAAAAACGGAGTTCAGGAAGGCCACATGCGGCTCTGCCAAGCTCCATTTTCGCTGGCAGAGAGTTGCAGAAGGTTGTCCCAGTCGAAAACGGAACTTAATTGGGAGCCCGTTTTTGCTGGCAG